TTTATAACAGTGACATTATGCAGTATTTGTCCTTTTGTGACTGAGATATTTCACTCAGCACAATGTCCTCCAGAGTCATTCATTTTGTATAATATTTTATAAGTTCTTTGTTTTTTCAGTGCTGCACAGTATTCCACTGTGTGAATATATTGCAGCTTTTCTATCAATTCGTTCATTGATGGGTGCTTGGATTATTTCAATTTATTTGCTATTGTAAACAACACAGCAATAAACATGGGTGTGCATATACTTGCTTGGGTGCCAGCTCTGGTTTCTTTAGGGTATATTCTCAGTAGTGAAATTGAAAGCACCATATTGCCTTCCAGGGTGGTTACAGGATTTTATGCTTCCACCAACAGTGAATAAGGGTTCCAGTTTCTCCACAACCTCACCAGCATTTGTGGTTTGTTGCTCTGTTGAACTTTGCTACTGTTACTGGGGTGAAATGATATTTCATAGTTGTTTTGATTTGCATCCCTCTTAGAGGTAGAGATTTTGAGCATTTCTTCGTGTGTTTATTCCCCATCTAAATGTCTTCTTTGGTGAAACATCTGTTTATATCCTATGTCCACTTTGAAACTGGGTTGCTTACCTTTATCTTGTTGAGGTGCTCAAGTATTCTATAAATTCTAGACGTAAGTCCTTTATCAGAGGTATCATTACCAAATATTTTTTCCCAGTCTGTAGATTTCCTTTTTACCCTGTTGGAGAAGTTTTTTGATGGACATAGGTATTTGATTCTTAGAAGGTCCCATTCATCTAGTTCTATAGTATTTTTCAAATTGTTGCTCCTGAGTGCTGCATAGTATTCCATTGTGTGAAGGTACCATAATTTCTCAATCCACTCAGTTGTGGCTGGACATGTGCACTATTTCCATGTTCTTGTGATGGTGAAAAACGCTGCTATGTATTGATGTACATACCATTCATTCTTGTCTTTTTATTCTCTATCTTCCAAACATTCCTCTCTCTAATTTCAAGAAATGGGTAAAGTTTTGATATTAATTGTTGTTACATTGTAATTACGTGCTGTTGAGTAGACTATGAATCACAGTGACCCCCCTATGGTTGCTGAAAGGTGCTAAACCTTGCTTTACCCTGAGCCAACCTCACCATCTCTGACACACCTGACCCCAATGCTACAGCCACTGTGTAAATAAATCTATTCCATCCATAGTCTTCCTCTCTTGCATTGACCTACTCTTCCAAGCACAATGTTCTTCTTTAAAGACCGACCCCTCCTGACAATATGCCCAAGGTATGTGAGAAGGGAGTTTTAAAATCCTTGCCTCTAAGGAGCAACTTGGTTTCACGCTCCTGTATGCTCACATGCACACAAACTTTTGGCTAAGCACAGTATTTTGAAACTTTTCTGTGGCTAATTAGCGAGCTCTGGTGGCTCATTCCATAAGGAATTGTGCTGCTGACCCGAAGGCCACATCTCTCTGGCATCTGAATACACCAGCAGTGCCATAGGACGAAGATGGACAGTCCTTCCCCATGCAAGTTATAGCCTCAAAAATCCAACAGAGGGTCACCTATGAGTCAACTGATTTGATAGCAATGGTTTTTAAGTTCTGTGGTTAAGCACATGGTAATACAGATAAACAGTAGTTTGTCAGGGGCATCAAACTCTTGACAGTTTTTTATCTCTGGTAGCTTTGTAGTAAGGGGTTGTGCTGCCAATCCAGAGGCACGAGGTTCAAATTCACCAGCTGCTTTGCAGGAAAAAGATGAGCAATCTCCTCCCATACAATCTACTGTCTCTGAGCTTGTTTGGAGGTTCTAGGAGGGGAGCGCAGCCACTTGCATACCCTTGACTGAAGGAAGGTCTTCCTTCTATCGGGAATGGTCATCCTGTTCAACTGAGCACAGAGTTTCAGGAGGGACGCACATGCATCGGTGAGGGAGGAAGGGGACACTGCTTAGCGAACCAGATCAGCCAAATCAACCCAGGTGATCAGTGGGGTAATAGATGTCATAGCCAGACCTCCCTCACATCCAATTTATTGCCTGTGAAAATCCACTGGAGGGCTAGCTATGAGTTGGTTCTGACACAAAGGTACCTAACAACAACAACAAGAACCAACCTGCCGCCCAGACCTGCCCAGAGCACCAACATAACTGAGGAATACAGAGATAAGGAGTGGACAGAAGTGGCCTGAGCTGTATTGGAGTTAGTTGTAGGAAGGGAGAAAAGAGGTGTTAATGGGGCAGGGTGGGGAAACAGAAGGGGGATGCTGGCAGGGCCAGGAAAGGGGATGGTCCACAACACATATGCCAAAGGGGGAGGTGGGACCAACACTGAATCTGTTAGCTGTGTAATCAGGAAGGGTCTTTCATCTGCTCTTCTGGGTAAAATGCTTCTCTGTCAGATATTGCTCTAAAGCTGAGCTTCCAAATTAAGATCGACTAGGAAGAAGGACTGACCATCCACTTGTAAAATAACAGGCCTTCGAAAATCCTATGCACACAACAGACAATTTATATATAGCATTCATTATGTGTAATTTTCTTACCAGGTGCTGTAGAATATGCATATAAGAAGTCTGCCTCAACTGGTATCTTCTGACATGTCATGTCATCATCAATGCTGTCTGTTTCAATGCCACAGTCCAATTCTGTACCTCTGCATGCCTGGATATGAGAAAGCAGCATTAAAAAAAATGTGTATATGTTTCTAAGCATTCAAAACTATTTCTAAGAAATGTAAAAATTGTGTAAATAAAATGGTTAGTTGACGCACAGTACCTGGATAATGAAGAGTTTAGGCTTTCCAATGAGACTTCTACAACTGTCCCCTCTGAAGAAAGCAGTTAATTTTTTCAGGTCAACAGGTCCATTTGTTCCATAAATAACTCCTTCATCACCATGGCTTAGAAGCACGCAAATAAAACTGCTCCTTTTGCTATGATCTTCTTTAGAAACTTGAGAGACAAGTAAAGTACAATTCATTGAAAAGTCTAATAGATGGAAATAAAGGAGACAAACTGAACTAAGAGATCATCTAAACTCAAAATGGGCCAAAGCATTTTAAGACGTTGGCATGGATAAATTAAAAAACCAAACCAACCGCAAGCCCCACAAATCAAACACCTCTTGGCAAATACAAGATTAAGAATGTTGTTGTTATGTGCCATTGAGTCACCTGCAACTCATAGCGACCCTGTGTACAACAGCCCTTAACTCTGCCCTATCCTGTGCCAATCTCACTGTCTCCGACATACCTACACCCATTACTCAAGGAAAAAAAAAATAGAGAATACATATAGTATAACTCGATAATCTTCATTATGCATAATTATAACTAGACCAAAATAGAAAATCAGACCATGATTGTCATTCATTGCACTTTCTTACCACTGTACATCAATTCCATCATTTCTTCACGTGTAAGATCATTTTTGTTCCTGACTTCATAGTTCAAGTTCCTGAATGTTTCCCTGAGGCTTGCTGCATCAACATCTGTACCAGACCGAGGTGCCATTCCTTGGAAAAGAAAGAAGACGTTTAAATGCATTTTTCACAAAAGAATGACTGTTTTGAAATCAATGACGTAACTAACACAACTTGTAACAAATCCATCCTCTCCAATGTTAAGAAAATTCTAATTATTTTATTCATGATGAAACAAGGTGTCTTTAATTTCCTGGCATACAAAACTTTCTAATATAAGCTGTATAGTGTTACAATCAGTGAAGCTATCATTTACAGCTGCTTTGTGAGTAAAAAACAAAGTTTTTGCCTTAGAAGAAATGGTCATTTCTTTCTTGTTAAACAAAAAGACTAAAGACAAGATGGTCTTCTATTTTTAGAAATTACATGTATTTTTACCTATTTCCCAAACACATGCTCTCTCTATTATCTCACACATATATTAGTAGTGTACTTGATTTCAGGATACAAAAAACCTTAAGACTCATTATTAACTTCACAGTATTTTTTCAAAGAAAAATAATATACTAATGCATTAAAACTTCATCCAGCTTCATATGAAATTTGTACTAAGTAGCACATCCAATGCTTGATCTGCATACAGTGATCCCAAGCACTCTGTACAGACACATAAATGTGCATGCGAAATGGACAATGTTCTCAGAATTAAAAATGTTTTTATGTGTTTAATAAAACTTTATTTACAACATTATATATAATTCAACTTATGACATTGCTGTCTGTCTTTTTTTATTTTTAATTTAAATGAAAATTCACACTTTGGATTTCCATTCATTCACTGTTGCACTTTTTCCCCCACCTACCTTCCCCATCCCCCAGTACACCCCCCTCTTTGAAAAGTAAAAGAAAAATTCTTTCATTGTTTTACAATCCCTCCCCACAGGTCCACCCTGCTATGCAGCCTTCGCTCTAGACTCCTATCATGACAAAAATACCTAATCACATACCCCTTTTAAACAGTTCTCTCCCTCATCTGTTTCAATGCAGTATACATTATTGAACCCATCTTTCTCAGTCTCCCCCCAACCCCAATGTCAGTCCTGTTGTACAACAGTGGCACCATGCAGTATGTGTCCTTTGGTATAGTTTCTATTACAGAAATATTTTAACAAAAATTTAACAAGGATCATCAAGGTACTGGCACTGGAAAAGAAGCCAACCATCCAGTTAGAAGACAGTTTGGGAAAGAGATTTTGAAGACAGATACAAGAGTATCTGTAAGTGTCTATGTGCTATTTTAGGACCTGAAGGTATTTCCCAATCTCTCTTTCTTAGTTATCTTGTATCAAAATTTTCTAAGAACTGATCAGTGCTATTTTTAACATCTTATCTGAAAAACATATTTGAAAAGGACTGAAAATTATGTCAGATACATACGAGTGCTTGAATGAAAGTTTTTATTATTAATTATTACACATAGGCCCATCTCAGGATAATCCATTTTGTAACTACAGTCCAAGGAAATTCCAGAATCCATCGATTTGCTCCCATGGAAGATCTTTCTGTTTAAAAGTGAAACAATTATTTACAGAGTTAGAAATGACATTACTTAAGTACATTAATAAAATGCAAAATATCTTAACAACCAGCTAATAGTGAATATTGTGAGAGCATGCTGAAGGCCTTTCTCCATTTGTATTTCGCAGTAGTCCACCTTACAGATGAGGTAAAGTGAAGTGCTTTGTAAGGTGATGTACTGAGACTTATGCAGACAACTGAGCCCCAGAGCCAAGGGTAAGAGTACCTATTAGACTCTTCAGAGTTCACGCCCTATAGTTACATTATCCTCTAAATGACAGCACGATTGATTAAGAGATTAATTCTGCACTGATCCAATTAATTGAAAATGTTCCCAAAGTTACAGGAAACCAACAAAAATAAAAGTGATTCAAAGTACAATGTACAAAAATTCCTCAATTATTTCTTAAGGGCCGTGAGTGGAACAAATTAATAATTAAGAATTCATTCATACATAGAAGCACTACTATAAAAAGTAACTGAAAATATTTGTCTGGTGTCACTTCTACAATCATTAGGGATATGATATGTTCACCTTTTCTTACGGAGCTCTGGTGGCTTAGTGGTAAGGAGCTGTGCCACCAACCCAACAACATGCAGTTCAAATCCACTAGCTGCCCCACAAGATAAAGATAGGCAATCTCCTCCTGTGTGATTTACTGTCTCTGAAAACCTGCTGGAGAGTCTGATGAGTTGCTTCTGACTTGACAGTATGTTACAACAACAAACTTTTTCTTAGCAAGTAATACAGTATTTTAGGTTTATAGGCTATACAGCCAATTCTGCTAGTGAATAACTAAGTGTGGGTGTTTCCATAAAACCTGACCAAAACAGACCACATGCCTAACCCTTGACCCAACAATCAAGAAATACCATGTCAAAAGCAGTAACAACAGAAAACAAAAAAACTGCCAACCAGTTATGCCAATTCTGGGTTTCAGAGTAGAACTGTGCTCCATAGAATTCCCAATAGCTATAATTTTTACAGAAAGATGCCCCAGTGTTGTAGTAGGTTAAGTGTTGGGCTACAAAAGGTCAGCAGTTCAATCCCACTAGTCACTTCATGGGAGAAAGATGGGCAGTCTCTTCCTTTGAAGATTTACAGCATTGGAAAACCAGTGGATGGTCACTGTAAGTCCAAATTGACTGGAGAGTGGTGAGTTTTACTCTTTACAGAAGTAGATTATCAGACCTCTCCTCCTACAGCACTACTGGCTGACGGTGTCCCCCTAACTGTCTGGCTGAAGCCTGGCACAAACCACCAGCACCACCCAGGGACCCTATGTAAGTTACAGAATTGAGGGAGGAGAGTCATATACATTCTGCTTCCTCGCTCTTAAATTTAGCTATATCAAATAGACCCATTCTCTAATTACATAGGAAAGTATTTAAATACTCACGTTTCTAAATTTTTAATGGACTTCGAATCCACTGAGATTTCAGTGTTCTCCATGGTTATGTTTACTAATTAAAACATTAAGAAAATAAAGTTAATCAAAATCAGTCATAAAATTACTGCATTATGTTCATTATCTCAATGATTATTTTTCCAAATTAACAGTTTACATGCACACTTTTATGTTAGTATTCTCATCCGCACTCAAGCTTTACCTTTACTGTCAAAGGTTTCCAAGACTGGAAAAATGTTATTTATTTCTCCTTTCCATTTTTTAAAAAAAGAGGTATGGATAGTGAAGCACAAAAAGTGTACAAATAAAAGCATAAATAACAACCAGGAGAATATAAAATAGATGAATGGGACCTTTTAAGAATCAAATCCCTATGCACATCCAAAAACTTCTCCAAAAGGGTAAAAAGGGAAGCCACAGACTGGGAAAAAATATTTGGTAATGACATGTCAGATAAGGGACTTCTATCTAGAATTTATAAAATACTTGAGTGCCACAACAAGATAAACAATCCAATTGAAAAATGGGCACAGGATAGGAACAGACTCTTCACCAAAG